GAAGGTCAATACTCATTTGGTCAAAATTCTATGCTTTATTAATTAATAATTCAAAAAGTAAATAATTTTATTAAAAAAAATAAAGATAACGCAGAAATTTCCAAAATAGTCCTCCCATAAAATGTGTCTTTCAAAATTACTTAAAATTCATGCCATGAAATTTTCATAAAGTGTACTATTTATTAGTTATTTGAGGTGATCATTCTATTTAATAGTTTTAGTTAATAAAAATTTATCTTTGTTTTATACAAATTAATACCTTTTATTTTTAAGTTAATTTAGAAGATTATTGGTAGATGTGTTGTTACTGCAGCTAGCCTTGTTGATTGTACAGGTTTGGGACTACGAGGTGATTTATGTAATTGTGAGTGAGAAGACTTAGGGGTTGTAGTAATAGGTGTTGTTGCTATGGGTATATGTTTTCTTAGTGGTTTGGCAGGTGTTCGTATTGGTGTTTTAATTTTTCCTTGTTGTCTGTTTGTGGCATTTATTAGTACTTGTTCTGGTAATAAAGAACTCCGTAACTCTTTCTTATCTTCTAAATGTTCTTTAAATTGACTGTAAGTGCTATCTGTTACAACTATACTTGGAGATCTGGAGTTTTCTTTCTTTTTACTACTTTTAGAAATCTTTCCACTAGAGCGAGTAAGCATTCGAGGAATTCTTCCATTCCTTTCCTGCTTAGATGCACTATTTTTTGAATTCAAGTTCCGACGTTTCATTGAAGCATTTGGAGAAGGAGTGAATAATAGTCTCCTCTTTAATGTACTAGACGGTGTGTGGACACGGGTACTTAATACACTAGGTGTTTTTTTTGCTGAAGTTGAAGCAATCCTTTTAGATGCACTTAAGGCTATTTTTTTAACTGATTTATCCTTGGCCTCTTTTCTGGCTTTCTTTATTGTTTCTTTTTCTTCATTTAAATGTTCCCAAGATTCTTTTAACAGTTCTTCTACTGACAGACCATTTATAGTGAATGTTTCTCCATTTACACTTTCATATTCTTTTATTAAATTTCTTAATTCTTCTTCTATTTTTGGTAACTTTTTTTGAATTGTTTTACGCTCTTTTTCCTCCATTAATAATTGGCCACCTCGATTGTAATAACGATCTGGATCATTTGTAGGTCGCAAAAGTTCTTTCATTTTAGACCATAGGGTGTTCCTTTCTTCTATGAGTTCAAATATAGCTTTATTAGCTGTATAAAACTCTTGCAATCTTTTTACTTCAAGTTCATGTAAAGTAAGCAAATCTTCTGTGTATGTTTGACAATGAAAATATTTAAATTGGCTCCTCTGTAATTTGCTAAATTGACATAGATCCCACAGTTTTGTTAATTCAGACCTCACTTGTGATACATGTTTTGCAATATTTTGTTTTCGCTTTTCTTTACATCTCTCCACCTCTGCTTCTAATGCATTTATAGTTGCAACACTGTATCCTACATAACTTTTAAGGAATGAATGACAAAGTCGTTCAGGTTCATCAAGACACTTCCATAGGTTAATTAATTCTTGTTTAATATTGTCTACATATTCTTTTGCTCTATCCATTTGATGTTTAAGCTCTTCATTAAATTCCTTTAATTTGGCCATATTATTACTGCTAAAAACAATGTTGTCACAGTCTTTATAAACTAATTGTTCAAAATTTGTAGATGGTGAAATGCCCAATTCATCCATCATTTTCACAATTTCTCTGCGCATTTCTTTAAAAGTAGACTCCAGACGATTCTTTTCTGATTCTTGGGTTTCAAGATATAGTTTGAAACTGTTAAGTTCTACTTCAGTAGGTATCTCTCTCTCAATTCCAATTGGTTGAGTGCCTAGTTTCTTGCAAAGACTTTCTTCTTTTATACGCAGTTCTTTTAAAAGTGCCAATCTTTGCTCCTTGCAGTACTGTAATTTATGTAAATCAGTGCGCAGCACATCTTCTATTTTTTTTAACGGTAAATCTTCGTATCCATTAGCTTGCATTTCTTCTCCCAACTCTTTGCTCAATATAGAAATTTCCTTCACTAATTCTTTAACATTATTTAATAACATGTCCTTTTTTTGCTGAGATTCCTGAACCATATCAAATAATAAATCGTTTATGTGATTGAACGCTTGTTCGCAGTATATATTACGTGCTTCCTCCGTAAATCCTATGTCTTCCCATATTGTGTGTAAGGTAGACAATGTATTTCTTAGCTTTACAATCGTTGTTTGTATTATCGGTTCCCACTTCGATAAATCAGCCATTATTTTTTTTTTATGTGTTCAACTGAAAATAATAGAATTAAGTAATTCATATGAAATTACATTTCACTAATTTATATATTTACGATGTAGAAAGCGTGTACGTACTACCTTTATTTGTTTAGAAAATTTCACCAGTTGTGACACGATCAGACACGATCAACCGTTCTTCTTTTGAATTCACACGATGGTGGACACGCGCACTGCGCACCTGCAGCTACCGCCCGCAGATTCGTTACTTACGGGTTGCAACATTCGGATTGGTTGAATGCTGATAACCAATCACATCGCAGAAAATTAAATGTTTGAATTTTTCACTTTAATGTGTTCTGTAAAAATTAACTGCGCATTTAAAATAATAATGATATTACAATAAATACTAATTGAAAAATATAACATTCAAATTTATATTAAATGATTCTGATGAATTGTCATATATGCAAATGAAAGAGAGATACATATATACATATGTAAACGTAATAAAACCTCGTTTTGTCTTCATGACTTGCACGCACCAAACGAGGATTAATAGTACTACGGACTATGTATGCAAGTATGTATGTATATATATATACATTATGTAATTTGACATACAATTAGGTATATTGACATTATGTATAATGTCGTACAGAGCTGTATAGAGGCTACATATCACCTGTATTCTGCTTACTTTCCATAAATGACTGATTATTCAATATAAAATCGACTACTTTTATCACAGTATGAATAACTAATTTCCATTAGATGATTTATAAATTCTATAATTTGTTTTAATTACTGAAATCATTGTACAAATGAATCGTTCTGCTATACATAATATGTATCAAATGTAGGAGTATGATACATAATAATTTAAATAGCACTGATTGTTTCAATATAATCATGCAATGTGCGTATAATAAACAATATAATAGTAATTATCTATTGTAATTTTTATTAACGTGTTCTTTATTAATTTCAGAAAATATTCTAATGAATTTCGATTTATATTCTAGGTTATCCTGTTTGTAAACACAGTACATAAAAAGGTACTGTAAAAAGTAGGAGGCACATAATTAAAAAAGAGTTAAGATAAGATTGTGTCAAAAATGAATGGTGTCAAAGAAAATTCACAAGATAATGTACCAGAAACTGTAAGAAATGCTGTGTTAGTACATAGTTTTGATCTTCCAACAGGAACTCCTATAGTAAAAGGTTTTTATCTTTTTACAGTATGAAAAGATGTATCATTTTAACTTTCAACCAAAAACTAAGAATTAAAAATAGTTATTTCTTTTAGGCTATGATTGGAATAAAGGAATCGACTATCATGCTTTACTTCAAACATATAAAACTTCTGGTTTTCAAGCAAGAAATTTTGGTTTAGCTGTTGATGAAATTCAACGAATGATTTATGCTAGAAATATTCCTCTTAAAGATGATGAAATTGACAATTTAGAGGATGATGATTTTATAAGGAGAAAGTCTTCGTGTACCATATTTTTAGGATACACGTCTAATATGGCTTCCTGTGGAATTCGAGATACTATAAGGTTTCTTGTACAGCATAAAATGGTCAGTATAGGTGTTGAAAATTATTGTCCACAATTTCAAATTACTTATATTTTATAGGTTGATTGCATCGTAACTACAGCAGGTGGTGTAGAAGAAGATTTAATCAAATGTTTGGCACCAACATACATTGGAGATTTTAACTTGGATGGGAAACATCTTAGAGAACGTGGTATTAATAGAATAGGGAACTTACTAGTACCTAATGACAATTATTGTATGTTTGAAGACTGGGTCATGCCTAAATTAGATGCAATGTTAACTGAACAAAAAGAGAAAGTATATATTTAAAAGTAAGAGAAGGCAGGTATTTATTTTGTCATTACTGTTTACTTTAAAATGTAAATTCCAGGGTACACTTTGGACACCATCTAAAGTGATAACCAGATTAGGTGAAGAAATTAACAACGAAGCTTCAATTTATTACTGGGCTGCAAAGAATAAAATACCAGTTTTTAGTCCAGCTTTAACAGATGGAAGTCTTGGTGATATGATGTATTTTCATTCCTTTAGAAATCCAGGCTTAGTGGTAGACATAGTATCAGGTATTATATATCTTGTTTCTTGACACTTTATCTAACTAAAACAGATGTTACATCTCTACAATTATATTTCAGATCTAAGACGACTAAACACAATGGCTATGAAGGCAGTCAAGAGTGGAATGATTATTATAGGTGGTGGTGTTATAAAGCACCATATTTGTAATGCAAATTTAATGGTAATACAAAAGTCGAGAGAGGAAATTGATAATCCATCAATTAAAAATAAATTTTATTTTAGAGGAATGGTGCTGACTATGCTGTCTTTATAAATACATCGTCAGAATTTGATGGAAGCGATAGTGGTGCTCGCCCGGATGAAGCTGTTTCATGGGGCAAAATTCGAGTTGACGCGAAACCAGTGAAAGTAAGAGTAAACTTAAATAGAAATTAGATTTTTTAGATATACATATTAATGATTGTTATTAATATTTCAGATTTGTGGAGAAGCAACACTTGTATTTCCGTTACTTGTTGGTGAAACATTTGCTCGGCACTATCATTCCACGAAAGAAAAAACCGTATCAGATGTTTAAAAAACGAAAAATAAAAATATGTAACTCGTAACAAAATAACTATTTTTTTCACTTCCATCTCATCGAAATACCTTACATACACAACTGTTTCACCTATAATAATTTATTACATACATTTTCGAAAATAAGTCTACACTTTGATACAGAAAATAGATTCGAAGTTGAAAAAAATTTATTTTCTGTTCCTAAACATCATACAATCATTATTTTCTTTCAACAAGGAATGTGGAGAGGGTAGGTAAGAGAGTATAAAATGAATTTCGGACAATGAAAGGTTTTTGACAAGGTTGGTCACTGAGTTTAATGCTCTTAACTGAGAAGAGAATATCTACGAACAGCGATAATAGATAACAGGAGAGTATGGTATATGCGGATGGTATAGTATTGTCGACTGAAAAAAATGCTATTGCGTCTAGAGAAGAAAAAGATGACGATTTTCAAGACTGGAAGGAGGGGATGGAGATGGGTGAGGAAGTTTGTTTGGTAAAGCGGATAGAAAATAAGGATAGGAAGCCGGTAGCAAGATTCAGGAATAGTAACAAAATAAAAACAAAAAATTACTGAATGAAGAACGGAGAAAAACAATATAAAGTGTGTAGATTGGAAGAGGACACGTTAAAGGATATTCTGTAGGAGTGCAGGAAAACAAAAACGGAAGTGCGAGTGAAAAGAATATTAGAAATTGAGGGATAGGGAATAGAAATGATGAGAGGAAAGTGCAAATAATAATAATAGTATTAAGATAATAAATTAATTTAGACGTAAGATAAAAACATAAATAGATATAATCGGAGATCATTCTAAGCCGAAAAACAAAGATCATAATAAATATATTAACTAATAATCATTGTTTTCTTTCTACTTCTATTTCAAATGTATCTTTAAACAGTGGATTTATAAATAAAACAATTTGTTAATTAAAAAATTAAAGAATGCAGCGAAATTAGGCGCAGCATTATCCTAAGAACTGCGTGTGAGGATTAATTAGCAGGTAGCTGATATGGGAGAGGCTAGTTGTTGCGAGTTGCGAAAAATTGGAAGCATATTGAGATTATTTGATTAATCGAATAGTTTTCGAACGGTTGCAGCTTTAGTGGCGGTTTGATAGCGCAGCGCCTGCGCCACGGCAATTTTGTTGTGCGGCAGGTGTCGGCGGCGCAGGTTTCCAGGCGCCCCACGGTGGTTGTGAACGGTGGGGGTAAAGTCGGTTGTCAGTTGTTTTCCGTAAGTCCGCGCTCGTGGACGGGCGCACGAAACCAACCCCTAACCCCTTGTCAAGCTCCCCGTACTTTATGGTTTTTGTCCCCGTGGAATTGGTCGTCGAGAGGGCCGGCGGGCCAGACAAATCAACTAATCTCCACACGTCATTCCTCCCGTTCTCATTCTCGTTGTCGTTGTTCAAATAATTCTTGGTTACCTTTTGTCGTTCGAACCGATCCGTCATCGTCGGTATGAATGATGATGGACGTGGAGGAAACCAATACCGCCTCCACCGCGAGTTCCTCACCAAGACCCTCCAGTCCTGCAGCAGACTCGACTTTCATCAGGTAAGGTTTGAATCCAGAGGATAGAACATTGGAACGATTCTAGTAAGAACCGTTCAACAGTGTTGCAAATATTGCAAGTGTTTTCGGGACTGCATTCTCTTCGAATGCTGTTCCTTTATGCGGGCGTTTAGAACGTATTCGAAAATGTTTATAATACTTTTTCGGTGGAGAGGGAAGGTATAGATTGAAGGTTAGAAATACAGGGCAAGTGTATATTTCTTTCTGGAGCGGGATCATTACCACAATGAGGCATCAGATTTATGTTGATCTGGGAGAAAAATGGTTTCAAATTGTAAGTCTTCGTCAGTACGTATAGTAATGTGTTTCGACGCTGAAAAGTATACAGTCGCTCCTCTTAAAGTTTCACGTTATCCTTAGTTTCCTACAATTAAATATCCTGCTATTTGCATCTCTTGTTTATCGAATCTTTTATATTCAAAGATAGGAACTAGAGACGGTTGAAATACACTGAAATATTTCGAACGGAATGGCGCCATTTTTGAAAGGAGATAATCGACGGTTACGTTACAATGCACGTTTCTTACAATTTCTCTACGATATTTTCGTGCTCTTCAGAGTGTTGACTGATAATACGAGTATCGCAGAAAAACTAGTATTTTAATTTCTCATTGTTCTGATTAGGTATACGATTATGGACAATAACACAGTGCCCTCTAAGGATAAGTACTTCAAGAAGTTTTGTTCGTACAGTGCTCGTGTTTCCGACACTGAATGCAATTGTGCGGATGTCATTTAATAATGCAAACGTTAAGAGCATCGCGTCTCGGCCCAGCGTTCCAACCTTGCTTTTTATTCAGCCAGGTTAAAAATACAAGTGGTGAAACGTAATGCTATCAAGGCTTGCTGATTGATTTCTTCCGAAACAAATTTTCATTTTCCATTAAAAAACATCAGATTGGCCACATAGTTCCGTCGTTTCTGTTTTCTTTCAAAACAGTGATGATATTATGTACCAAAATAAATGTTATGAATAAGGATTCATCAACAATGTTCTTATATTATATTATCGAAGAACAATATCATCAACCAAAATGGATCACAATTCAATTTTCTAAAAATTCACTTATTAATTAAAGAGTGCGACAAAACTTCTTAGATAAAACTTTTTTTTGTTATTGTCAGAGATTGAGTGTTTACACATGCTCGTATCTTCGTAGAACCGTCTATTTTCCGTCAGTAGACTGAATATTTATCGTGAAATTAATTGCTTTTTTAATTTTCGCCAATTTTATTTATCCTTTATTTACGTTGAAAATAATAGTCGCGACGAGGTGTAGACGGTTTATATCCGAGTACAGATTCTCTGGTTCGGATAATTCAAATCCGCGATTTTATTTATTATTACCACGTAAATCCTCGTTGTCAAACGGACAAGTCTTTACAAGAGTTGAACTTCATTCATGGTTTACAGTGCGTGAATAAAGAAATTTAATTGAATACATTGCGCGGGGCACGAATTGAGTAAGTGGGTTTCAGCATAAAAATCACGCGTTCCTTTCTTGCATGGTTTTGTAATGCAGTTACCGAAATGAAAGTCGGATGCTCATTTTAAATGCGTTCAAATTACACAAACAAATGGAGTACGTATAGCCAGTTAACTTTTCCGCGACAGTTTGCTGCCATACTATATTTTCTAACAAAATAGTTGAAACAAAAATTATTTGGTATTAATCGTATGTCGCGCAATATAATAATTACTTTTTATTTTGATAATTAATATTGATCTTAAGTTTTCGTATTACACGTTATAAATAAAGTACAATTGTTAATTGTTAATTGCAAATGTAGCGTATCATGATATAAAATATATGTATAGATTCAAATCAAAGAAAAATATACTTATCTGTTTAGTGGTTTACAGGGACTTTAAATGACGTAAAAAAATCTTTTATTTATTATTAATTGTAACCCACTACAAGCAGTAGACTGCATATGTTAATTTGAATAATAAAATTATTTTAAACGGTCATGATTTGAAGTGTTTTTAAGTGAAGTAACAATAGTAGCCAACCAAAGCAGACTACATATATTGTAATATAAATTATATTAGATATTAGATAAGCTTCGAATGTTTGTCTACAATCCTATCCATTTATAGCGTATCGTCGCCGGTTCTAAATTCCTTGAATCTAAATTTTTGAAATATCTTCTGCCATCGCGGTTTGTTCATTGCACGATTTCAAATTAAAATGTACTCTTGCGATTTGAAAGGCGAGTGCGTTTATAATGTCGCTGATTTCTTTTCTCTTTTACGCGTCTACTGTCGGCGCAGGTGTCTTGCGGAAGATTCTTTATCCTCGCACATTCTCTAGAAAAGTGTAGCAACCATTCATTACGGTTCTCTATTATACTTTATTAGCGTAGACTAAGATAATACTTGCGGCCTCATCACTCTCGCGTTTCCTCGACAGAGGATGCGGCGAAACACCATCGCAAGATTTATCTAGAGTTTGCGCCAGATTTATTGCTAGACTAGAACAAAAGTTGGTCCAGAACTGGATCAGAGGATGTTATAGTAATACAGAATAAACTCTGTTGCTGGGAGTATTTCGAATCTTGAAAGCTTTCCGCGATTTCATTCGAGATAGCGTTAGATGATTCAAGAATAAGCTTCGTTAGCTGCAGATGCAAAGAGAAAACTGAAATTATCTTCGTCTCGTCTAAGTGTGGCGGAAGTTATACGAATCCTTTTTAAGGCAATTACCAGTACCAAGTTATTCTATGTCATAAAATAGTAGAATCGTAGCATACAGCTGGATATTTTTGTTCGTCCGGTGCATCTCTGCAATTCATTAGAACTCGTCCATTTCGGTAATACGATACTACGTAACAACTGTTCGCTCTCGAAAATATTCAGCATTCTAAATTTTATCTAATTAATAGTTTTCATATCGAATGCATTCTAATTTTATTTTTCTTCATCTGGTCTTTCAATTTTTTCGTTCATGAATACTATTAAAATATCGCTAATGATTTTGACCACATTTATACTGGGAGGAGGATACCTCCCCCAGTACAGGGGAAGTTCCATTTTTGCGATTAATTACACCCTATAACGCTTATAATTACATCCAATTAAAATGTAGTCAGATAATAGAAATTATGAAATGCTAATTATAAAAAGTTATTAATGCGTAGATTGCAGATTTTTATGGCAGTTTGTATAGATTTTCGTGAATTATTTCATAATGTCGGACATTCGACACAGCTCTTTAAAAAGTTATGCATAAAATAATAATCTTCTCTCTACATATATACTCTACTCCGATTTTAATTTATAAATGAAAATAAATAATAATATATAAAAAATATTTTTCTTATAGTATAGAATTAATGAGTTGTTTTCATTTATAGATTAAAATTGGACATCCTGTATATTCTTATTGTGGAAATTTTTGTTTTGAAGTAGTTATTCCAAGGTTGTATAGAGTAATTGAGCTATCCTCACCAAGGGGTGCCATTATATCG